TGACCCGCACCCCCAAGGGAACGCTGTAGTTATACCAAAACCCCTGGTGGGAAGGAGGGAGCTCTGTAGAGACCCCATAACTCTTGGGGGGAAGGAGAGAACACTGTAGTGACCCCCAGCCCCAGAAGGAGCTCTGTAGTGACCCCATAACCCCTGGGGGGAAGGAGAGAATGCTATAGAGATCCCCAGCCCCTGAGAGAACTCTGTAGTGACCCCCAAGCCCTGGGGTACAGAGGGGGCACTGTAATGACCCCACAACCCCCCAAGGGAAGACTGCAGTGACCCCAACCCCCAAGGGAACGCTGTAGGGACCCCACAGCCTCTCAGGGAAAAGAGGGAGTGCCGGAACAGCCCCACAGCCTCGGAGGGAATGTCAGTGAGCCGCGACCCCCCCAGCTCACCGAGGATGATGGTGACCGTCTTGACGAGGCCGACCACGGTCTCCCTGTAGCGCGGGTGGAAGGAGGTGTGCGCCGACATCCGCCCCATCTTCCTCTTGACGTAGATGAAGATGTGGGCGTAGACCACCGCCATGAGGAGGAAGACGAGGAGGTTGGAGATGGCCCAGAAGGTCAGGTAGCTGCGGCTGTAGAGCGGGGCCATGCTGGAGCACTCCTCCAGGGCGCACAGGCAGTGCCAACCGTAGGATGGGATCAACCCCAGCAGCAGAGCCGTGGCCCAGATGCAGAAGATGAGGATCATGACGCGTTGGTTGGACATCTTGCTGTGGAGCTGCATGGTCAGCACCGTCTGGTGCCTCTCCACCGCGATGGCCAAGAGGTTGACCACCGAAGCGGTCAGACTGGTGTCCAGGAGGCTCTGCCGGATAAACCAGGTCTTCAGGGAGAGTTCGGCCGTCCTCGGCCCCGTGTGGAACATGAGGAACATGTAAGCAATGCCAGCAAAGAGGTCGGCGGCTGCCAGGTTGCCCAGGAGGTAATAGATGGGGTAATGGAAGCGGCGGTTGATGATGATGGCGGCGATGACCAGGAGGTTGGTGAGGAGGACGATGAGGCTGACGGTGAGACCCAGGGCCACCACCAGGACATCTTTGGTCCTCCAGTAGGTGGTGAGCTCCTTCCGGCTGTTGTTGTAGAAGAAACCCACCGACTCGTTGTAGTAACAGTGCTTCATGGCCGCCGGCCTGGAAGGTGGGGGGAGAAAGTGGTGAGAGGGGGGGCAGGCGTGGGGACGGTGTGGTTGGGGGGTGGGGAGGGAGGGGGGAAAGCTGACGAGTGGGGTGGGGTTCTGGGAGGTGGTAGAAATGTCAAAAGATTGGTTTGGAGGGGTCCTGGAAGGCTGTGGAACTATGGAATGGGTTGGAAGGGTCCTTAAAGGTCAAAGAACGTTAGAGTAGGTTGGAAGGGTCCTTAAAAAAAAAAATCACAGAGCCATAGAATGGGTTGGAAGAGTCCTTTAAGATCACAGAAGCATAGAATGGGTTGGGTTGGAAGGGTCCTTAAAGATCATAGAAGCACAGAATGGGTTGGAAGGGTCATTTACAACCATAGGAACATTGAATGGTTGGGTTGGAAGGGTCCTTAAAGGTCAGAGAACTTTAGAATGGGTTGGAGGGGTCCTTAAAAAAAAACCACAGAACCACGGAGTGGATTGGAAGGGTCCTTAAAGGTCACAGAAGCATAAAATGGGTTGGGTTGAAAGGGTCCTTAAAGGTCATAGAAGCATAGAATGGGTTGGGTTGGGAGGGTCCTTAAAGGTCATAGAAGCATAAAATGGATTGGGTTGAAAGGGTCCTTAAGATCATAGAAGCATAGAATGGGTTGGGTTGGAAGGGTCCTTAAAGGTCATAGAAGCATAAAATGGGTTGGGTTGGAAGGGTCCTTAAAGATCACAGAAGCATAGAATGGGTTGGGTTGGGAGGGTCCTTAAAGATCACAGAAGCATAGAATGGGTTGGGTTGGAAGGGTCCTTTAAGATCACAGAAGCATAGAATGGGTTGGGTTGGAAGGGTCCTTAAAGATCACAGAAGCATAGAATGGGTTGGGTTGGAAGGGTCCTTAAAGATCACAGAAGCACAGAATGGGTTGGAAGGGTCATTTACAACCATGGGGACATTGAATGGTTGGGTTGGAAGGGTCCTTAAAGGTCAGAGAACTTTAGAATTGGGTTGGAGGGGTCCTTAAAAAAACCACAGAACCACGGAGTGGATTGGAAGGGTCCTTAAAGGTCATAGAAGCATAAAATGGGTTGGGTTGGAAGGGTCCTTAAAGGTCATAGAAGCATAAAATGAGTTGGGTTGAAAGGGTCCTTAAAGGTCATAGAAGCATAAAATGGGTTGGGTTGAAAGGGTCCTTAAAGGTCATAGAAGCATAGAATGGGTTGGGTTGGAAGGGTCCTGTAAGGGAGGTATAGAGCAGCGCACCCCAAAAAGGCCCCCATAAGAAGCCCCTCAGGGAGGAAACCACGTTGTGCAGCAGCACTGAGCGTCCCTACGGCCCAATCTGCAGAGTCACGGAACCACGGAACCTCACGGAACCTCACAGAACCTCACAGAACCTCACAGAACCATGGAACCAGAGATCCATGGAACCTCACAGAACCACAGAACCTCACAAACAGAACCTCACAGAGCCATGGAACCACAGAACCATGGAACCACAGAACCTCACAGAACCTCAGAATCATGGAACCTCATAGAACCTCACAGAACCATGGAGCCACAGAACTTCACAGAACCTCACGGAACCTCACAGAGCCTCACAGAGCCACAGAACCATGGAACCACAGAGCCATGGAACCACAGAACCACACAGAACCACAGACAGAACCAGAGAACATCGCAGAACCACAGAACCTCACAGAACCTCACAGAACCGTGGAACCACAGAACTTCACAGAGCCATGGAATTACAGAACCTCACAGAACCTCATAGAACCACAGAACCATGGAACCACAGAACCTCACAGAACCTCACAGAACCATGGAACCACAGAACCTCATGGAACAACAGACAGAACCAGAGAACATCGCAGAACCATGGAACCTCACAGAACCTCACAGAACCTCACAGAGCCATGGAATTACAGAACCACAGAACCTCACAGAACCTCAGAACCGTGGAACCACAGAACTTCACAGAGCCATGGAATTACAGAACCTCACAGAACCTCACAGAACCACAGAACCATGGAACCATAGAACCACACAGAACCACAGACAGAACCAGAGAACCTCGCAGAACCATGGAACCTCACAGAACCTCACAGAACCACAGAACCACAGACAGAACCAGAGAACCTCGCAGAACCACAGAACCTCACAAAACCTCACAGAGCCATAGAACCACAGAACCATGGAACCAGAAAACCTCACAGAACCACAGACAGAACCAGAGAACCTGGCAGAACTGTGGAACCTCACAGAACCTCACAGAGCCATGGAACCACAGAAGCTCACAGAAGCTCACAGAACCATGGAATTACAGAACCTCACAGAACCACAGAACCTCACAGAACTGTGGAACCAAAGAACCATGGAACCAGAGAACCTCAAGAACCTCACAGAACCACAGACAGAACCATAGAACCACAGAACCATGGAATCACAGAACCTCACAGAACCGCGACGTCACTCCCAGCACCCCATACCTCCCATGAGCTCTCCATCCGTCCCCTCCAGGTCTGCAACAGTGCTGTCGTTCAACACTCGTTACATCGGGGGGGAAACCTCGTGGGGGGAGACGAGGAAGTGTCAGAACTCAGAGGGTATCCCGAGTCAGAGTGGAACTGCGGGGAGGATGGAGCCCAACTCCTGGGAAGGACTCTGATCATTTCCCTTCCCGTCCTACAGACACCCAGATGCAAAAGCAGGGCCTGACATGGAGGGGTTGGCAAAGCACAGAATGGGCCAGGGTGGAGGGGACCTGGAAAGGCCATCAGGTGCCACCCCCCAGCACTGGACCCCTGTTCCTTCAACCCCATTTCTATGGTTTTATGCTTCTAAAGATGACCTGCAAGGACCTTTCCACCCCAAACACTCCATGGTTGACCTGGAAGGACCCCTCCACCCCGATCATTCCCTGGTTCCATGGTTGACCTGGAAGGACCCTTCCACCCCCAAGCACTCCCTGGTTGACCTGCAAGGACCTTTCCACCCCAAGCACTCCATGGTTGACCTGAAAGGACCCCTCCAACTCAACCATTCCCTGGTTCCATGGTTGACCTGGAAGGACCCTTCCACCCCCAAGCTCTCCATAGTTGACCTGTAAGGACCCCTCCAACTCAACCATTCTCTGACTGTCCTGCAAGGACCCTTCCACCCCACCCCAGCCATTCTCCAGTTGACCCGTAGGGACCCTTCCAACCCAATCATTCCCTGGTTGACCTGTAAGGACCCCTCCAACTCAACCATTCCCTGATTGGCCTGTAAGGACCTTTTGAACCCAACCCCTCCCAGGCTGACCTGTCAGGACCCTCCCACCCCACCCCACTGAACACTTTAACCCCCCCCCAAACGCAGCTCAGACTCCCACTGTCCCAACAACTCCGTCCTCTGCTCCCCTGCCAGCACAGACTGCATTCCGGGACTCTGCAGCTCTCGTTAGCAGCAGGGAGGTGAGGTCATTAATCAGGCTCGTTATCGCCCGCACCCAGCACAGCATTGGGCAAACAACGCAGTCAGGTCTGGCACTGCGCTGAACTTTTGATCTCTGCTGGGAAAAGGGGAGACAGAGGTACATTTATACTGGGAAAGGGGGAGAGGGGAACATTTATACTGGGAAAGGGGGAGAAGGGTACATTTATACTGGGAAAGGGGGAGAGGGGAACATTTATACTGGGAAAGGGGGAGAGGGGGTGCATTTATACTGGGAAAGGGGGAGAGGGGAACATTTATACTGGGAAAGGGGGGAGAGGGGAACATTTATACTGGGAAAGGGGGAGAGGGGAGCATTTATACTGGGAAAGGGGGGAGAGGGGAACATTTATACTGGGAAAAAGGGGAGAGGGGAACATTTATACTGGGATGAAGGAGGAAGGGAGGAAGGCTCCAGGTTGGGAGGTAGAATTTGGGGAGAGGCCATTCTGACAGCAAAGCAGCTCCAAACTCTCAGCTCCCACCCAGTGCTTGAAAAGCAGAACCCCCAAAGGACAGCAGAGCACTGCTGAAGTCACTGCGTGGTGACACACATGGATGCCCAGGGAGGAAGGGATTGCAGTGGGACCGGGGCTCAGAGCATCCCATAATGATCCAGCCGCGCAGACATGAAGCAAAGCCATAAATGCCATCCAACTCACATCCAACCCCGTTCCCTTTTTTTTTTGCCATCAAACCCCACTCACTTTTTTTTTTTTTTGCCATTGAACCCCATTCACTCTTTCTGCCATCCAACCCTACTGACATTTTTTTTTTTGCCATTTAAAGCCCTTCCCCCCACAACCACGGGGATTCATCTGGCACAGTGGGCATCGTTTTGGCCCAGCAGCTGCTCACCCCACGCTTTCAGTCGAGAAACCTCAAAATTTCCAAGGGAGATCCTCGTAGGGCATCCCAAACTGAAAGGAACCCATTGGGATCGCGGAGTCCAACTCCTCCTCCCAGACTTCTGAGCCAACAGCGAATTGAATCGGTGTGACACTGAGCTGGGGGGCGGGAGGGGGGGGGATGGGGGTACGTCCCCAGTAAGCAGCAGCAGCTGCTGTGCCTCTTGATTACAGCCCTGCAGTTAATTAGCCAGGCGACCTTGGCGCTCGGTGGCAGAGAACAACGCCACGAAGCAAAACACGATGGGGGGGAAAGGAAGAGTGCGAGCAAAATCTGTTGCTGTGATGCACAGCGGATCTGGACGAGCCCCCAGACCCCTCCTCACAGCTCTTCACGCTCCGTGATGGGATCTTATGGGATTTCCCCCCTCCTCGCCCCCCAACCCACAGCGGCGTTGAATGGCCAAAACCAGAAGTGAACGCACTCCTCCAACTCCGCTCCCTTTCTCAATGAGAAAACACCGCAGTGGGGGCACAGGGAGAGGCCATGAAAACGCATTTCCCCCCCCCCTCCCAGCCCTTTCCCCCCCTTCCCAGCCCTCTCCCCCCCCTCTCCTCGCTCATAGAACCGCTGCCCTCCATTCACACTGAGCTCAAGAGGTTCTGTGCTGGAAATCACAGCACGAGGGGGGCCCTCCTCCCATCCCTGCCTTCCTCCCACGAATGTGAGAGTCGCTGCTCAGCCCCCCGGAGGTGTGGGAGGACGGAGCGGGGATGGACCTCTCAGATCCACAATCAGTGCTAATTAAAACTGCCTTTTATAGACCCATTGTCCCAAGCCGGCTCGCCGTCCCATTTGTTTCACGCCGCGCAAATTGATGGGGCCAAAGGTTGAAAGCGCCGCTCCTTTTTTTTGTTGTTGTTGTTGTTTGTGGTTCCTTTCCGGCAGAAAAAAAAGAGTGAAGAAAAAAAAAGAGGACAAAGTTTTTGCTCTCTGTTAAAAATAAAGCCATTCTTACCTGCAAACACACCCACTGCATCCAGACCGCGCTTCTAGCATCGCTGTCCCCGCCGCAGGGAAGAGGGAGAGCTGTTCCATATGGAGAACCCCATCTTGGGAGGGAGGGAGGGGGGCAAAGGGCCTTTCCAAACCCAAAGAGCTGAGTGGAAAAGTTTCAGAGAGGCGTTAAGGCCGACGGCTCCCAAAGGCGAATTTGCCAGAGCTGCGATGAGCCCTTCCCTCCTTGGACCCCTCCCCTTGGGCGGATCCTTCGGGATCCCGGATCCACCCCAATCCGAGTCCTCTCCTCCTTGATGGAAGCTGGAGTCTGGTTCCGAATGTGGGCTGGAAGGAGTCGGTTCCGATCCGTCGGCATCGGGCTGGGGGGGTGGTTTCACCAGTATAAAGCACAAACTGGGCCCACCGGACCCACCTGTGCTCGGCTGCTCACTTAAGACCTGCGGTCTTCCTCAGCCTTCATCACGGAGATTTGAGGCTGAACTGAAAGGCTGAGGAATCACCAGCAGAACCAGAAGGGCTGAGGAATCACCCACAGAACCGGCAGAGGTGGGAATGGGTCGGGAGGAGCAGCGATGGATGAGGAGAGGTTGGAATGTCAGCAGGGCAACCCTGGGGTCCGACAGAAGCTGAGCATCACACCGACCTCCTCAAGGTCTCCCTTCATTCTGCAGCCTCCACAGCTGAAACGATGCCACGGAGCTCACGCAAGCCGCCAAAAAAAATGCATAAAAATGAATTGGGAAGAGCTGAGCATCATCAGCTGGTTGTAAATCCACAACCTCCCGAGCAAGAGGGTGACCTGCAGAGGTTCCACCGCCCTTCACGTGGTTCCTCTGAGCAGCAAAACGTCACAGGAGCAGAGTTCTCTCCTGGGAAAGTTAAAGTTTAATGGAGTCACCTCCTTGTGGCAGAGAACCACCAAGGAGTGTTGAGAAGTAGGAGCGTAACACAGAGCCAGAAATACTCATTGGAGACAAAGCCTTTGGTCGCAGACTTCCAGTGCCATCATGACGAGGAGAAATCCGAGCTGTCAGAGTGACAGGGGCTGATCCTTCCCTCCACACAATGCGTTTCTGATCTGCTCGTCTCCAGGATCCTTTTAGGACCCTCATTTGCCCGCTCCTTCCTTTTGGTGTTCCGTGCTGAGAGCAGTGGGTTTAAAGCTCCGCTCTGAGCCCAGCACGCAAACAGCAGTGATGGGCTGTCAGAATGTCAGCGGAGAACTCAGCAGAAACCCCCAGAATTTCAAGGAAGAACCCAGCAGAACCGTTTCCCATCCACCAACACCTCAGTGATCAGGAGAGCAGAACCCAGTGGGACCAATTCTAAATCCAATGAAGAACCCCAGGACCAACACCTGTGGGGTGATCAGGAGAGCAGAACCCAAGCAGGATGGATTCCAAACCCAGAACACCAACGAAGAATCCAGCAGAACTGGTTCCCATCAGCCAACACCTGGGTGATCGGGAGAGCAGAGCCCAGCAGGACCAGGTCCAAACCCAGAACATCAGTGATGTTCCATCCACCAGCGCCTGGGGTGATCAGGAGAGCAGAGCCCAGCAGAATCTGTTCCCATCAGCCAACACCCAGAGCAATCGGGAGAGCAGAACCCAACGGAACCAGTTCCAAACCAAGAACAACAACGGAGAACCCAGCAGAACCAGTTCCTATCCACCAACACCCAGAGCAATCGGGAGAGCAGAACCCAGCAGAACTGATTCCAAACCCAGAACAACAACGGAGAACCCAGCAGAACCAGTTCACCAGTTCCTATCCACCAACACCCAGAGCAATCGGGACAGCAGAACCCAGCGGGTCCGGTTCCAAACCCAAACCCAAATTCCAACCCCCTGCCCCAACGGCTCAGCACTCAGACATCCGTGGCAGCTTTGCAGCAAAGAGGCAACGGTGCATTTTTTGCAGTTCTGGGCCCCATTGAACGCACAGAGCCCAAATTCAGGACAAAGAGGGAGGAGAGATCAGGTTGGATCAGATCAGGGCTTGTGCAAACCCGTCCTGGGTGGTTTTGTGCTTTCAGACAGAGGGGAGAGAACATTTCTGAGCTTAACAACAGCAGTTTTTTCCTTCGTGTTTTTGCAAAAAGGGGGGTAAAAAAAGCAGGAAAGAAGAGAGCATCCATTTGCAGACTGAAGGGAGCAGAGCTGAGATTGCGTCGGGTTGGAGAGAAACCAAACGCACGCATGACCCCGAGTGACCTCACCCTTCAAGGACGCGGAACTCCTCCCCCAAAAATTCACTCCTCCTGAAAACAACACCGAAAATCTTAATAATAACCCCCCAAAAAACCTGACGCCATTCAGTCTCCTTTTGCAGCTGAACGATCGCCCCGGGTTGGAGCTCGGGCGCCTGAGTCCATTTGCAGCAATGCTGGAGGTGCGTTTCCCTCCCCGCTGCTGGGAGTTTCCCTTCTGTTTTAATTTATTTTTTACCCTTCTCTGATCGTTTCGCAGCCATGTTTTGCAGCATCCGCCCCTCTCCACCCCCTCCTCCGTCCCAGAAACCCCATCTGAGCACATCCTGGTGCCCAGCAGAGAGAACTCACAGGGAAATGCTTCCAAAGTCAACAGACCTCTCCCTCCCCTTCATTGCACCTCTGTTTTCTCAAGGCAGCGTTAATGGCTTTCGTGGATTTCGTGTTTTCAAACAGAGCCAAAGGTTCTCCTTCAGCCTCACGGCTGCGACTGCTGCTGATGGACAGAAGGTTTTTACTTCATCCCCCCTCTCCTCATTGCTGCGACCCTCTCCTGGAATCCCGGGAATGTTAAAGAACTCTGCAAGGAGCATCACCCCCTCCTCCTCCCCCCCCCCCCCCGCCTTTGAGCCCCCTATGCCAGCAGAGCCAATTCCTCCCATTCATTCTTCCAAGCCTCAGCTGGCCCTGAGCTTCCCATTAATTCTCCCCACTTCCCAACTGGTGCAGGGGTTCCCAAATCCTCAGCATGGCCCAATTCATCCCATTCATTCCTCCAATTCCCAGCTGGCCCTGAGATTCCCAGTAACTCCCCCATTTCTCCAACTGGTGCAGAGATTCCCAGAGCCAATTCCTCCCGCTCATTCTACCCAAGTCCCCAGCTGGTGCAGAAATTCCCATTTATTCTTCCATTTCCCAACCGGTGCAGGGATTCTCGTCAATTCTCCCCAATTCCCCACTGGTGCAAGGATTCCCAAACTTTCAGTGAAGATCCGTTCCTCACATTCATTCTACCCAAGTCCCAGCTGGTGCAGAGATTCCCAGTAACTCTTCCCAGTGGGAATGGGGGTAGGGATGTGGGGATGAGGGTGGGGGTGTGGTGGGAGCGGGGACAGCAACGGATTTGGTATGGGGATGGGGGTGGGGATAGGGATGGAGATGGGGATGGGGACAGGGATGGGGATGAGATGGGTTTGGGATGGGAATGGAGGTGGGAAAGGTGTGGAGATGGTGACGGAGGTGGGATGGGCTTGAATTGGGGGCCAGAGTGGGATGGCGATGGGGGTGGGATGGGCTTGGGATGAGGACGAGGGTGGGCTTGAGATGGGGATGAGCTTGAGGCAGGGTTGGGGATGGAGTGATTGCACTGAGCTTTGAATTCACATTGACTCAGTGGGGAAAAGCAAAAAGCCTGAAACAGGAAGGGAGGAAAGGAGGAAGGGAGGAAGGGAGGAAGGGAGGAAGGGAGGAAGGGAGGAAGGGAGGAAGGGAGGAAGGGAGGAAGGGAGGAAGGGAGGAAGGGAGGAAGGGAGGAAGGGAGGAAGGGAGGAAGGGAGGAAGGGAGGAAGGGAGGAAGGAAGGAAGGAAGGAAGGAAGGAAGGAAGGAAGGAAGGAAGGAAGGAAGGAAGGAAGGAAGGAAGGAAGGAAGGAAGGAAGGAAGGAAGGAAGGAAGGAAGGAAGGAAGGAAGGAAGGAAGGAAGGAAGGAAGGAAGGAAGGAAGGAAGGAAGGAAGGAAGGAAGGAAGGAAGGAAGGAAGGAAGGAAGGAAGGAAGGAAGGGAGGAAGGAAGGAAGGAAGGGAGGAAGGAAGGAATCTTGAGAAGATTTCTGTGGCTCCCCAGTATTGTATGAGGAATGCTGCTGTGCAGATCTGAGCTGCAGGGCTGGAGCTCCATGGGGTGCTGCTGTGAAAGCAGCGTTAGTAGCCAACAGCGTGTTTGTTTTCCTGCTTTGTAGTAGAAATTAGGGACATGGCCATCAGACGCTTATGGTGGTCCACAGCACAGACCCTGGAGGGTCCTTGTCCCTCCCCACACATCAGTGGGGCTGAGGTCGTTCCTTTGAAGCTCAGCTCCAGCCTAGAGGGGGTGGGAGAAGAAGAGGAAATGATGGTTCTCCTCCCTGCCAAGCTGCTTGGAAATTCAGCTTTTCTCCTGCCAACCCAAACCCCGTCCACTGCGGCCGGAGGACAGCAAATCCCCATCCAAATTCTCCCCGCACAACAACGGGTCCTGGCAGCTGTGTAGCTCTGCTTTGGCGGCTCAACCCGTGACCAAATCGCTGGCAAACAGCAAGCAACGAGGAGTTGCAGGGGGAAGGAAAGCATGTTTTCTCTAATGGCACTTCTGTATGCGTTGGAAGGGAAAGCAAATTGCTCTACACCCCCCCTCCCCAGCTCCTCCTATGGAGGACGAACCTCTGCCTCATCTCCATCAGCAGAAGGAAATTGGAGATTTAGGAGGAGAACCATTCGGGTTCGACTGGTTCCTCGCATGGGAAAGCAACGCCTTTGTTTTGTGGGGAGCCGAGAGCACCCAGTGCTTCTAATAATAGTGCCCTGAGTGTTTGCTTAAGCTCATGGAACAAATACAGGGGAAAGTTGTAATAAAACACCCAGTAATTTATTATAGAAGCTCTACGGTCGGTGATAACTTAGTATTCAAAGCAATATATTCACAAATGTACATCGCTCCAGAGATGCAAACTCTGATAACCCAAACTGTACAGACAGGACCAAGAGATCGTCAGCGTTTCTCTTTACAGCTTTGTTAAGAGAAAGGGCTGAAATGGTTTCTGCTGATGAGGTGAGAGAGGAGTTGGGTTGCTGAACCTCTTTGGCTGGTTGGGAGAGCGGAGTTTTCCCTCCTGGGTTGGGAGAGCCAAAGGTTTCCCTTTGGATTCAGAGAGCAAAAGGTTTCCCTTTGGATTCAGAGAGCAAAAGGTGTTCCTTCTTGGGTTGGGAGAGTGGAAGGTTTCTCTTTTTGGGTTGGAAGACGGGAAGGTTTCCCTTTGGGTTGGCACCTCCACTCCTCTCCCAGTCACTGCCAACAGTGCAGCGTTTTGCTGCCCAAATTTCATGCAGATTTCCTCTGCCTTT